ATTTGAAAATTAAAATGCAAAAAAAATATATATATATATATATATATATATATATAAATTTATTTATTTTTTAAAGATGATATATTCAATGTATGTTAAAAAAGTTCAAGCCAAATCTGTTTTTATAGAAGATTTTCAAAACTAGCTGGTTTAATTAATCTGTTAAAAGATTCTTTTAATCTGTTAAAAGTGCAGTTTTAATCTGTTAAAACTTCTTTTAATCCACTAATACGTTCTTGATTCTTTAACTGATTTGTTTTAAGCTGATACGACAACGTTTATATCAATTAAAACACTTTACAAAAAATCTTCTAAGTTGATTTAATCGATTGTTTCGCGATTCAATCGATTGAAATACTTGCAAAACTTTCTCCTAAAACTTTTCAAGTTATTTTAACTGATAAAAATAAGTTTTAATCGATTAAAACGCTTGCGTAGAATCTGCTTTAATCGATTGAAACGAGATTTAATCGATTAAAATAGTTATGATCGGTCATAAATGCATTCTGACCGATCATAATTGAAACCATATAATAGCGGTTCAAGGGTTAACCGCTATCTAAGTCATATTTTAAGAGCGGTTCCTGTGTAACCGCTATCTAAACGTCATCTCGCTTGAGCGACAACATTCTCGCTCGAGCGAAATGCCCCTGCACAAAATTAGTACTCTCGGGTTGTATTTCGCTTGAGCGAGTCTATCTCGCTCGAGCAATAGTTGATTCTGATCGATTATATATTCGAAATGATCGATCATATTTGATAATTTTTTCAAATAATTAATTATAATCGATTAGTTTTCTAAATTATTGATTATAATTGATTAGTTTTTCAAATAATAGATTAGAATTGATTAATTTCTGAAATATATACTAAAAAAATATAATTAAAACTATAAATTAGTTAAGAATATTGACTATTGTAAAGATAAAGTAGAAACATGGGAGGAGATGAGGATGATAATATAATGATAGAACTTACAAAAATGTAGAATTGAGAAGTTTGAAACAAATAAAAATAAGAAAATAGATATTTAATTACACTTTTAATAAATTTAAGATAATACTAGTTTTGATTTTTATTTTTAAATATTTATTTTAAATATTTAAAACAGAGAAACTATAATTTTAGTTTCTAGCTACTGAATTTAAAGAATTAAATTTATTATTATTTAATCTTTTAATTTGTAGAATTAAACTCAATATAATTGTTAAAAATACTTTGTAGAGGCATTTGAGAAAGCTTTTGTCAAAATACTTTGTTTTTAATTGTTAAAAACATTTGTAGAGGCATTATGCAAAACATAATTGAGATGATATGATAGCGGTTCCACCTTAACCGCTATCTAAAGTATAATTAAGATAACGGTTAATGGTTAACTGCTATTAGAAGTGCACTTTTAAGAGCGGTTCCAGTGGAACCGCTATCTAAAATGTATTTCGCTTGAGCGATAATATTCTCGCTCGAGCGAAACTCCAACTGCACAGAATTCGCATTCTCTGGTTGTATTTCGCTTGAGCGACATACTCTCGCTCGAGCGAAATACGATCCTGATCGATCATAACTTGAAATGACCGATCATAATTGAGAGGATATAATAGCGGTTCCCTCATAACCGCTATCTAAAGTGCATATTAGATATCTGAGGTGTATTTCGCTTGAGCGAGACTACTCTCGCTCAAGCGAAAACCGATTCTGATCGATTATATTTTCAAAATGACCGATCATATTTGATAATTTTTTCAAATAATTAATTATAATCGATTAGTTTTCTAAATTATTGATTAGAATTGATTAGTTTTTCAAATAATAGATTAGAATTGATTAATTTCGAAATATATACTAAAAAATTATAATTAAAACTATAAATTAGTTAAGAATATTGACTATTGTAAAGATAAAGTAGAACATGGGAGGAGATGAGGATGATAATATAATGATAGAACTTACAAAAATGTAGAATTGAGAAGTTTGAAACAAATAAAATTAAGAAAATAGAGATTTAATTACACTTTTAATAAATTTAAGATAATACTAGTTTTGATTTTTATTTTTAAATATTTATTTTAATTATTTCAAACAGAGAAACTATAATTTTAGTTTCTAGCTACTGAATTTAAAGAATTAAATTTATTATTATTTAATCTTTTAATTTTAGTATTAAAATTTTAAATTATATTTTATTAAATTAAAATAATTACAATATATTTTTCTCCTTTGAGAATGAACAATATAATTAAACTCAAAATTGACAATATTATAATACATTTTTGAACTCTTTTGGATTAATTTCTTTTTCCTAATTTTTTATAAAGTTAATTTTAATATTTAAAAGTATTTAACATTTTAAATTCTGAAAGGTTTTCTCTAATAGAAAATTTAAAAACATAATATAAAAAAAATAGTTAATGTAAGTTTTAATTATGATCGGTTATAACCGCATTCTGACCGATCATAATTGAAACCATATAATAGCGGTTTCAGCTTAACCGCTATCTAAGTGAGCTTTTAAGAGCGGTTCCCCTTCTAACCGCTATCTAAAATGTATTTCGCTTGAGCGAAAAATTCTAGCTCGAGCGAAACGCCCCTGCACAAAAGTGGCATTCTCGGGTTGTATTTCGCTTGAGCGACTCTAATCTCGCTCGAGCGATGGTGCAACTGCTAGTAAAGTTAGTAAAGATATGTAAAAATATAAACATATAAATATATATAAAAATATGTAAAGATATAAACATATATCTTTAATATTTTGTAAATGTAAATATAATTTATATATATTTTTAAATCTTTTTCTAATATTTATTTTTAAAAATATAATATTATTTTTAAAATTTAATATTTTTTTTTCAAATATATAAATATATAAAGATATAAATGTATAAGGATATAAATAAATATATAAATATATCAATATATAAATATATCAAAATATAAATATATAAAAATATAAAAATATAAATATATAAATATATAAATATATAAATATATTAATATATTAATATATAAATATATCAATATATAAATATATATATATATATATATATATATATATATATATATATATATATATACAAATATATCAATATATCAATATTATCCCCTCATATATTAATATACATTATTAGCATAATTTTAATTTAATTAAAAATTAGAATACAAATATACTATACTATACTAATATACCATTATATTATTTTCATTGTATATAAATTACAAAATTAATAATTTGTATACTATACTAATAGTATAATATACTATATTATAATATTATTTGTATAGAAAACTAATATATTTATATATAAATATGAAGATATAAATATATAAAAATATAAATATATGTAAAAATATATAAAGATATAAATATATCAATATATAAATATATCAATATTTAAATATATATTAAAATATATAAATATATTTTTATTTATAAATTTTATATTTATATATTTGTACTGGATATACATTTATTTGTATATAAATATAATTTATTTGTAAGTTATTATTAAAAGATCCTAGTAGCTCGGTGGTTGGAGTTTCGACCTCCAACTCTAAGGTACCGGGTTCGAATCATGACAATGACAATAAACCACCTAATAATAAGTTAAACTTCTAAAAAATATAATATAATTAAGAGATAGGGGAAATAAATATAAATAAAAACTTAAATAAGCAAAAATATAATATCATTAAGAGATAGGGAAAATAAATAATAGATATAATAAAAATGTAAATAATTAACTTTTTCATTGATTCGATGACCGATTTGGTTGGTCATCGAATCGATCATTGATCGGTCACTGATCTAGCATCGATCGGTCATCGATCTGATCGATCACTGAATAGGTCACTGAATCGGTTACTAAAATCAGTGACCAAGGAAATAGTGACCGATTCCAGTTGGTCACTATTTCGGTCACTATTTTAATTAGTAACCGATTTTGCACATTTAGTGACCGAATTTTCGGTCACTATTTGATGTTTTTCTTGTAGTGTTTTATCAGTCCATCCATTTCTTGCTTTTAAAGTAAACAATTTTAAAGTTGCTGATAATCTTGTAAAACTACATCCTATGTACAATTGTTGCGCAAAATCAGATTTCAAAGAATCATATAGATGTGCTTTCATAAAATTTTCTTCACCAATATCACGTATCATATCCTCAAGATTATCATCCATCCCTTCATCAAAATTGTCTGTAGTTGACACTGTTGGGATGTCTAATATTTCTCCATGCCATGTCCATATTGTATAACTCTTAATAATACCATAAACAAATAAGTGATCACGTATATCCTCAAGTTTATGACGAATTTGATTCAAACAATGAACACATGGACAATAATATGTCCCTTTCATAGCTTTTCCATTTTCACTAGCAAATTTCAAAAATTCCTCAACTCCCTTTTCGTACTCTTGACTAATACGACGTGCATTCATCCAACTTCGATTCATATTATGTTATAAAGTTTCGTCACTCCTAGAGATTTAAAAATTATATGTAAAAAGAAATTAATATACAAACAACAAAGCACGTTCCAACAACAATGGAGTGTGTAAACCAAATGCACTCAAACAAATAAACAAATAATTACATTCCAATAACAATCCAGTGGAGACATTCATACTATAACGTGATTGAGATCCCCAAAAACAATCACGTATTCAATTTAAACATATAGCAATGGCATAGAACACTAACCTCGAGTGTAGACGAAAAATGATTTCAAACTCGAATCCAATCGGAGAGAAATATCAAGTTCGTAAAATGACACACAATGTTGATGTTTTCCAGTGTCAAACTGATCGAAAATGGTGTGCAGAGGTTGTTGTTGTCGTCGTTCTCGTCGTCGTTCTCAAAAACCCTGGTTGCACGAGACGAGGGAGTGGGTTTGGGGGGAAATAAAAGGGACTTTTTACGTCGCGCATCCTAGCACGCGACGTAAAAGTTTTGTCTCTTAATTACAAAATTGCCACCGCGTTTTATTTACGTCGAATATTTTTACATGCGACGACAATTGGGTGACGTAGGAGCCCTTTTTTGCACTAGTGCAAGAATGCGATGACTCCATCTCTCTTAGGCACGACGATCCTGGAACTTCTGAAGGATGTTTTTTCAGTGTTGATTTCCTCTCTGTCGCGGAGGGTTTGTAAAATGGAGTCCCGTTTCTTGAATCCGCGTCTTCACCCTAATTTTTTCTTTTTAATTTAATGCTAATTGGGGAATATAAAAAAATGCCATGTATGCAGCAAGTGTGTACTGGGTGTCTCCAAAATGTGGGTGTACAGGAATCGTTACTCTATATTCTAAATGAAGATAAAACTGATCACCTAACAATTTTAAGTACATCTTTGACCCTTCCACGAAGCTAGTCAGCACTCATTTCCCCATGAATTACTCCATAATTCTTTCAAAATAAAACCTGCAAAAATGTAAGTATAACACATTGTTATTGCAATATTCTAAGCATAAATCCAAGAATTTATATATTCAAGAACTAATTTCATTTTAAGAGAAAAAATAAAGTAATCAACGAGTGGGTGAAGTTTCATACCAATGAAGTAATAAAATTAAGAAGTTGTTCCCATTCATTTTCATCATTTGATCCTCCACCTGCAATTTCTCTGAGTTGTGACTTATTATCAGATACTTCAACTAAGGTTTCTAATTGATTTTCACTTGTTAGAGCATCTAACTCCAACTCCGATTGCTCTGGATTGTGACTCATTGTCGAAGTTTTGAGTAATGCATTCCGATTGAAAGAATTCATTGCTATAACTATCAAACAACTTCAATCCTGATTCTGAGGCATACACTGGGAACACCCCACCACTAGTGCAAAAAAGGGCTTCTACGTCACCCAATTGTCGTCGCATGTAAAAATATTCGACGTAAATAATATGCGGTGAAAATTTTGTAAATAAGAGACAAAACTTTTACGTCGCACATCCTAGGAGGTGACATAAAAAGCCTCTTTTACGTCACACCTGGGTGGTGCGACGTAAAAGAATGTTTTTTACGTCACGTGCTGGGGTGCGCGACGTAAAAAGTGCCTTTTATTCACTTCCATACCCACTCCCTCGTCTCGCGCAACAAGGGTTTTTTAGAACGACAACGACAACTACCTCTGCACACCATTTTTGATCAGTTTGACAGTGAAAAACATCAACATTGTGTCTCATTTTACGAACTTGATATTTCTCCCCGATTGGATTCGAGTTTGAAATCATTTTCGTCTACACTCGAGGTTAGTGTTCTATGTCCTTGATATATGTTTAAATTGAATCCATGATTGTTTTTGGGGATCTCAATCACGTTATTGTATGAATGTCTCCACTTGATTGTTATTGGAATGTAATTATTTGTTTATTTGTTTGAGTGCATTTTCGGTTTACACACTCCATTTACGTGCTTTCTTGTTTGTATATTAATTTCTTTTTACATATAATTTTTAAATCTCTAGGAGTGACGAAACTTTATAACATAATATGAATCGATGTTGGATGAATGCACGTCGTATTAGTGAAGAGTACGAAAAGGGAGTTGAGGAATTTTTGAAATTTGCTAGTGAAAATCGAAAAGCTATGAAAGGGACATATTATTGTCCATATGTTCGTTGTTTGAATCAAATTCGTCATAAACTTGAGCATATACGTGATCACTTGTTTGTTTATGGTATTATTAAGAGTTATACAATATGGACATGGCATGGAGAAATATTAGACATCCCAACTGTGTCAACTACAGACAATTTTGATGAAGGGATGGATGATAATCTAGAGGATATGATACGTGATATTGGTGAAGAAAATTTTATGAAAGCACATCTATATGATTCTTTGAAATCTGATTTTGCGCAACAATTGTACATAGGATGTAGTTTTACAAGATTATCAACTACTTTAAAATTGTTTACTTTAAAAGTAAGAAATGGACAGACTGATAAAAGTTTCACCAAATTATTGGAGTTGTTGAAAGAGATGATTCCTGAAGATAATACATTACCTATTCGTAACTATGAGGCAAAGAAGATATTATGTCCAATGGGTTTAGAGTACAAGAAGATACATGCATGTCCTAATGATTGTATATTGTACAGAAATGATTTTGCTAAATTAAAAATGTGTCCGACATATGGTTTGTCGAGGTTCAAAAACAAAGTTGAGGAAAGTAGTGGTGAGGAAGAACTAGATGGTCCCCCTACTAAGGTGTTATGGTATTTGCCAATTATACCTAGGTTTAAAAGATTATTTGCCATAAAAGAATATGCAAGAAACTTGACATGGCATGCAAATGGTAGAAAATGTGACAATCTTCTTCGACATCCAGCTGATTCTCCACAATGGAAAAGGATTGATGAAACCTTTCCAGAATTTGGTGCAGAGCCAAGAAACTTGAGAATTGCATTAGCTACAGATGGGATGAATCCTTATGGAAATTTAAGTAGTAAACATAGTTCATGGCCAGTTTTGTTGATCAGTTACAATTTGCCTCCTTGGTTATGCATGAAGAGAAAATATATGATGTTATCTATGATGATTTTAGGACCTCGACAACCAGAAAATGACATAGATGTATATCTTATTCCTTTAATTGATGATTTGAAGATGTTGTGGGAAACAGGAGTGGATGTATTTGATTCATATCACGAAGTGAATTTCAGGTTGCGTGCAATGTTATTTTGTACTATAAATGATTTTCTAGCATATGGTAATTTGAGCGGTTATAGTGTGAAAGGTCATTTAGCGTGTCCTTTATGTCAAGAAGACACAAGTTATATCCAATTGAAACATGGACAAAAAAATGCGTACAATAGACATAGAAAGTTTCTAGTTGCTAACCATCCATATCGTAAAATGAAGAAAGCATTTAATGGATGCCAGGAGAATGCAGTTGCATTAGTACCACGCAATGGTGAACAAGTATATGAGCAAGTGAAAAATATTAATATTGTGTTTGGAAAGACCCAAAAGAAATCCAATGAGAAAAACATTTGGAAGAAACAGTCTGTATTCTTCAATCTTCCTTATTGAAGGTTGGAATCCAACAATATATGCAAACATGGATGAGTGACTCAAAAAGACATATATATTTGGCTCCATACATTGAAGGGTTAGTATTTTAATTTGTATTTTAATTTATATTTTTATAACTAATTTTTATGTCATACAATGTAGGTCCCATTGGCAGTTAATTGTAATCATGCCCCAGGATTACACTGTGGTGTGGTTTTGTTCATTACATCGAAAACTGAGTCAAGAAATGAAAAACTTATTACAAGGGTAACTTTATCTTTTATTCATTAATTATGTTTTTAAATTGTAAATACATATTGAATAATATATTACTTTTTTTCACTTAGAATCGTGTCAGGAACTAATGTTCTAAGTGGAAAACCTAGAACAAAGACTTTGCAGTTCATTTATCCTAAGGTTAGAAACTTATTTATATAAGTGAATACCAACATTATTGTTTGTATTTAAATTTTGAAAATAACATTATGTTTTATTCATCATTTCAGTTTCATAAGCAAACAAACTCGTTTGAATTTGGTTACTATGTTATGTATTGGATGAGAGCCATAGTTTGTGTGGGTATAATTGATTCTTGGACGAAAGTAATTGCTTTTAACATTAGTTAAGTTTATTTAACTTTATTCTTGTTGCATGTTTACAAGAGTCAAATTCTTGTTTCAGGTATTTCAAGATCCATCTCCATTGTCAGAATATGATATTACACAAATTAGAGAACAATGGGCAAAAATTTTCGTTCAACAATTCTAGTACATAATTTTTTAAGTTCTTGTTCATATTATATTGTGTGTATTATGTAGTTTAGGTAGCTTAGTTTGTATTAACTTTTAGTTTGTAATAGATTTTTTAGTTTGTATGTTTATCTTATATTGTTTTATTATGTAGTTTAAATTATATAATATTATATTTTTAATTTACTAGCTAAAGAAACTTGAACCTCTTGACTGTTTGGTTGTAATATATATTTGCAGGTTTTAGTTGTAAAACAGAATAAACCCAATTTTTTTAAAAGAAGTAGCAAATTTACGTCGCATATTGGTATAGGTGACGTAAATTTATGTCGCATATAGCAATATGCGACATAAATTTATGTCGCATATACCAATACGCGACGTAAATTTACGTCGCATATTGCTATATGCGACGTAAATTTACGTCGCCTATACCAATATGCGACGTAAATTTACGTCACGTATACCAATACGTGACATAAATTTGCTTTTTTTTTTTTTTAATTTTGGAAGTTTTTACGTCTGTTTAGTAGTATATGCAACGCAAAATTACGTCGGGTCTTGATAACTGACGTAAATTTACGTCGGGTTGAGGGATCCAACGTAAATTTACGTCTCCAATTTTAACGTCAGTCTTAAATACGACGTAAAAAGCCCTAAATACCTGGCGTAAAAGCCCTTTTTGCACTAGTGCACACTCTTTGATTCTAACCGGTTCTTCTTGGTGTCTAAAGGAGCCATTGTAATTGAATTCAAACATGAAAGGTATTCCACTAAAATGATCACATGTTTTAACAAACAAAAATACGTGATCTGAAATTAAAGTTGTGTGAACTAACTTGCCTTCGTCCATTCCCACTTGTTTGCTATCTTGATAGATAGAACACGAAAGATGTCCATCCATTGATCCCTCAAAAAGATTGATACAACAAATAAAACCACACAATTCAGTATGTGAGAGAAAAGGAATAGTTATTGAAGTATCTACGGTGTGAAATCTGCACTCATCCATGACATGGTCACTCGGAAAAAAGAAACATCCACCCTCAAATTGGTTGGGATTATAATATTGTTTGTGTAAGTAGGACTTGCAACTCTGCAACATGTGTTCAAAAACTAGTGATTGAGTGAAGATTGTCTCCAAAGAAGTGCAGTTAAAGGCTGTCAGCATTTTCAAGGATGGTGGAAGCTCCGACAGAGATACGAGTTTACTGCAATCATCTAACATCATTATTCTCATGAAAGGTTTTTCATGGTTGCAAGCAAACTCTCAACATTAGTTCCACTTAAGTCTAAAACATCTAAAGAGAATACCTAGTCAATGATGTTAGGGAGAGGCTGTAAGACTGACAGATTCGTTGTAATAAACTCTGTTTCCGAAACACCTGATAAATGCTCAAGATTGTTACAACCCTTTAGATAAAATAGAGAAAGTTTCCTATTAAATTGAATTGATGATGGCAATGAACATATAGCAGTGTAAGATAAGTCCAAGAACGTCATTTCATGTGATGTCACTGAGAACTCCTTGAGAGATAAACAGCCATTGCTCCATCTTTGTAGAGATTTCGAATGAACATTCAGGTTTTCAATCTCTCTACAACCACTTAAATTCAAAATTTCAAGCTTGGGGAGAGATAATATGGATGGGTGGAGCTTGCGCAAGCTTTCACAATCGCATAGATCAATTGTTTTGAGTTTTTCTGCCTCAGATAAATCTGGGATCTCAACCAGATCAGGAGAAGCATCAAGGTAAATCTTCTCCAAGTTCGCAAGGTTCTGTAACAACAAAATGCATCACAAATTCACAGGTTCAGAAATCGTTAAATTCACAATCATGAGCTTTGACTAAAGGTTACAAATTGGACCAAAAAGTATGTATAGCCATTTTCATACCTGAACACCATCCCAAAGCTTTTTAAGCTTACTACGAGGCATGTAAAGCACAATAAGATGTTCTGCATGAAAGTTAGACGACAGAGTGTTATGGACCATAATGCAGGTGAGGAGGAACCAGAACCAAACGTGTTATGAGAGCCCAATCCAAATGATTTAAATGACACAATTAGAAAAGTCAAGCCGAGAAGAAATCCTTCTAGAAACCGTCAAGTACCTCAGAAATTTAACGAATACAAAATGAATTGATTCTGTTAGGATTTACTTTATTCTTTTGGGACTTATTTGTTTTGCTATTTTAAGAATTATTTAATTGTGTCTTTTTTCTTTGCCCATATATATATATATATATATATATATATATATATATATATATATATATATATCCTTTTCATTATCAATAAAAGGGAGGAGAATATTTTGTGATAACCCTTGTGGGTGTGGAGGTTTTTCCCCTTCCCTCGAAGTAAGGTTGAATTTTTCTGTTGAATTCCAATAAAGACGTATAATCTAGTGTTTTCATTGAGAGTAACCATGACTCCCTCTTCTGTTTCTTCCAGTGATCCTCAGATTTCAAAATTGATTAAAAATCATCTTACCTTACAACGGGAATACCAATGCTTGGAGGACAGATTTGCCCTCTTGGAAAGCAAACTAGAAAATCCGGGGTCACCTTCTTCCACACACGAAACCAAACACTATATGAAACTAGAGATATCTCGCTTTGATGGGAACGATCCTTTAAGGTGAATTTTCAAGATCACTCAGTATTTTGAGTATCACAAAACACCAACAGTGGAAAGAACACGCATTGCTAGCTTTTACATGGAGGGGGAAGCTCTTAGCTGGTATCAATGGATGGCAACGAATAATCAAATCAAGGATTGGGATGCGCTGCTTAAGGCGATCCAATCTCGCTTTGCCCCATCACGATTTGAGGATCCTGCTAGTGCATTGTTTAAACTGACCCAAACTTCTTCGATTCGTGAGTACCAACAACAGTTCGAGGCTCTTGCAAATCGAATCATTGATCTCTCTGCTCACTACTACAGAAAACACTTTCTATGACACAAATCGACGTCAGTTTTTATGAAGACCGACGTTGTACAAAACACGGTGGCAAACTTGTAATTATGAAACAATATTTAACGTCGGTTATAACAAAACCGACGTAGGAATGAATAAATAACATCGGTTAGATAACAACCGACGTTAAATTTTTAAAATTAACGTCGGTTATGTATAACCGACGTTGAAATCCCAAAATCAACGTCGGTTCCATGATTTAACCGATGTCGAAAGCATTATCCACGTCAGGTTTTTGAACAACCGACGTCGAATTTCCTAACATATTTTTTATACCTAATTCGAAAGCGTGCAGTTCTTCTTCTGCTTCTTCTTCGTTCTCTACTACCCCAGTCATCATCGCCGTGTTGTATCCGCCCACCCTTTAGTGCCCTGCATCGTTGCGCCACCGCTACTTCCTTGTTTGACGTGGTAACACCGCCCCCTCGCCGCGCTCTTAGACGTTGTTGCACCGCCGCGGTTGCCGTGTGCGTGGTACCCCTCGTTGCCCTAAGGAAACCCCTTCTCATCAGGTTAGATTAAGTGGTATGGATGATTTACTGCATGAATTTTACATAAATATGGATGATTTAGAGCATTTCCTGCATATGAACAGTGGAAAGATGATGGATGATTTTGTATGGTTTGATTTGATCTAGGTTCCTTTAGGCTTTGGAAGTTTGTTTTCGGTTTCGAAGTGGTATATACTCTTTCATGTAGATGTACACGTTTGACTGTGACTGTTTTTGGGGTTATTTTCTCATTCTTTACGTGGGAAATCAAATTATCATTATGATCAACTTGTTTTCTATCTTTCTTTCTTTTTTGTATTGTTTTGCTAAACCTTTCCAATAAACATTCAATATCTAGGCAAACCCTTTTGTGTATGTTAGATGGATCGAAGTTGGGTGAATGCAAGTTGCATGTCAGAAGAGTATGAGAATGGAGTTGACTCCTTTTTGAAATTTGTCGAAAAAAATGCTCCCAAAACGAATGGAAAAATCTATTGCCCATGCATTAATTGTGTAAATGGTAGAGTACAAGAGATGGACACAACGCGAGAACATCTTATTTGCGATGGGATGATGAAGAATTACACCATATGGACATGGCACGATGAAGTGGTTGATATTCTAATAGTATCACAAACTATTGAGGATGATGTGACCTGTGAAGATCGAATAGAGGACATGCTTTGTGATGTGGGTCAAGAGAGCTTTCTTGAAGCACATGCATCTATATATGATACATTGAGGACCGATTAAGAGACACCTTTGTATCCCGGATGTACAACTTTCACACGGTTGTCATCTGTGTTAAGATTGGTCAATCTAAAAGCAAAATTTGGTTGGAGTGATACAAGTTTTAATGAATTACTCCAACTTTTGAAGGAGATGCTCCCAGACAATAACACCTTGCCGGACCGTATGTATGAAGCGAAGAAGATACTATGTCCGATGGGTTTAGAATATAGGAAGATACATGCTTGCCCTAATGACTGTGTGTTATAAAGGAAAGATGATTGTAGTCAGGAGAGTGATAAAAAAACATCCTTCTGTAAAAGTTTTATGGTATCTTCCAATAATTCCAAGATTTAGACGGTTGTACGCTCACGAAGATGCTAAAAATTTAATTTGGCATTCAAAGAGAAAAACCTGTGATGGGCAAATGCGACATCCATCTGATTCTCCCCAATGGAAGAATTTTGACTGTCTATTTCCAGGTTTTGGTAGTGATGCAAGAAACCTTAGACTTGGATTAGCAACAGATGGGATGAATCCTTTTGGTAATTTAAGTAGTAACCATAGTTCATGGCCCGTTTTATTGATGATTTACAATCTTCCACCATGGTTATGCATGAAGCGCAAATATGTCATGTTGTGTATGATGATTATAGGTCCAAGACAGCCAGGAAATGACATAGATGTGTATTTGAGTCCTTTGATAGAAGACTTAACACTATTATGGGAGGAAGGAGTATATGCATTTGATGGGTATCAGCAGCAGAAGTTCAAGTTGCATGCAATGTTATTTTGTACCATTAATGACTTCCCTGCCTATGGAAACTTGAGTGGGTATAGTGTGAAGGGGCATTATGCTTGTCCTATTTGTGAAGAAGAGACCAGTTATCTACAATTGAAACATGGAAAGAAGATAGTTTATAACAGGCACAAAAAATTTCTCCTGCATGACCATCCATACCGTAGACTGAAGAAAGCTTTTAATGGCATATAGGAGGATGAAATTTCCAGAGAACCATTGACTGGTTTACAAGTTTACGATCGAGTGAAGAACATAAGCATTACATTTGGAAAGACCCAAAAAAGGTCTTATGACAAGAACATGTGGAAGAAGAGATCAATTTTCTTTGATCTCCATATTGGAGCCATTTAGAAGTACGGCATTGTATTGATGTTATGCATGTGGAGAAGAATGTATGTGATAGTCTCATTGGCACATTGTTAAACATTCAAGGAAAGTCAAAGGATGGGATCAAAGCACGTCAAGACCTTTGTGAGATGGGAATACGTCATGAATTACATCCAAGGCCTGAAGGCAATAGAACATATCTACCACCAGCATGTCACACCTTGTCAAAGAGTTAGCACAAAGGGCAGTTGTGCTGAAGCCACTATCGAGGTCACACCTGAGGCGGCATCTATTCATCTTGAATCCACAAAGGATGATCGATGTGGCTTGTGGGTTGAGGTAGATCAGGGTCTAAGACTAATGGCCCATGGATCAGTTCATGAAGGGGCTTCAACCATCCACAATGTGCCTTTGGATCCTAACTTGGTCAAAGTAGTGGTTGAAAAGGTGGTTCACGCTGAGGCTAGTGTCCCTATCCCCACTGAAGAGGTGCAGACAGTGGGGCAAGCCCTTCAGACCTTCATTACTTGGCCCCGACATTTAGTTAGGCCAATCATGGCAAAGGTCTGTATATGTATGGTTATAATACATCTAACACACAAATAAATTGATTTATTGTTTATAATTATATTTTATAAAATATGTAGGATGTTCAGCAGCCAATAGACTTGGGTAAAGCTATTGTCACTCCTTCTAGATCTAAGGAGAAGACACCTGTTGTGGGGACTTCTCCAAATCCAATTTTTGATCTCTTCTCTCTTTCCCCACATTTGTATATGCAGTCATTCCAAGTTCTATGGGATTCTACATTATTAGGGATTCCTTCTAGTAATATCCCCCTATACATTTCCCACACTCCCACACTGATGCCTTGGAGATTAGGATGGGCAATCAATGTCTAAATATAGTTGTTTTACAATTTTGGACATTGTAAGTTCATATCTTTAATGACTCTTTTCATTTTATTAAATATATAAGTTATAAGTTCACTTAAATTGGCATATTTTAGGATGATGCATGAAATGATAGTGGAGCAGGGCATTGGTCATGTGTATGGATTATTCAAGCCTCAATCCATACAAAAGTCTGGGAATAAGCGTGATCAAATTCTCAGTTACATGCAGAATTGGATGGCTAATTGTAAGAGAGATATTTACCTTGGAACATACCATCATTCGTAAGTTATCCTAGCCTCTTCTGGTTTTACACAAGTTTTTTTTAATAGATTCTAATCATGTGTATATACAGAAACCATTGGCAGCTATTAGTTATTTGTCCAAAGCAGAATCTTGTGTGTTGGTTCTGTTCATTTGGAATAAAACCTGACATGGAGCTAAAAAAGATTGTAAACGAGTAAGTATTTCGTATATTATGTCTAAACCTCTTGATTATTCTATTTCTAAGCCTCTTCTTTTCAATATATAGTGCCTTAAAGGTTTGCAGTACATTAGATGGAAAACACACAAGTAAAAGCACAACTCCAAATTGGAATTTTATCAAAGCAAGTAGCCTTATATATATTATACTATCTATTAATTTATGTTCAAATTTGATAGTTATTTTGAACATATTTGGTCATTTTTAGTGTAACAAACAAAATGGAGGAT